ATGTTGCGCAGATATTTTCCCCATTCTCTCCTGGCAATTTTTGTTTTTGCGTTCCAACACCCGCAATTCATCAGAATAGTCGTTGATTTCATGACCAAACTATTGTTCTCCATTGTTGTCAACTAATTATAGCATTTTTAAGAATTATTTCAACGATTTTACCCTTGATTTTCGAATAAAATCCGGAGACGAACGGCAAAGCCCCAGGATTTGTTATCCATTTTTGATGTGCGCAGAGATGTTGCGCAAGGATTTTCCCGCTTACTCATGGGGTGGTGGAGGTCTTTTGAACAATTTCAGATGGACACATTCTGTTTTGGACAAGTTCTCTAGGAAAAATGGGGACAGATTTAAATCTACATGGGAACTTTTTTTCTGTTTATAGATAATGATCATCAACTTTTTCTATCTATATTATGCTCTATTTTACTTACTTTCTATTTTCTGCTTAAAAATTNAACCTATAAGATTATATTATCATAGTAATGTTACAATATAATCATTTAAAAAAATTAATTACCAGCATTTTCTGCTTAAAAATATTCCTTTATTACACACATTGCATGTTTCAAATTATACAATTTTGCAAACAAAGTGATTTATAAAAATCTCAATTTATTCAGTAATTCTATGACCCTAGCCAGGTGATTGAGAGATTTTATTCTATCACATATTAACCAGGATATGACTTCGCTGTTATATAAAATTGTTGCATTGAGAGAATCGTCTATGACAATTTTCTTTCTTTCTTCCCCATTTTCCAAGATTTCCAAAAATAATACACATCCGTCATATTTGACTGCTGCCCAATTGGGGGTCTCTTGACCATTTCCACATTATTATGTAAATCAACAAAATTAAATGACACACTATAGTTACGTCCTCCATTGTTCGCGAAAGTACAAAATTCGTATACACAATTAATTCTTAAATGTTACATACAATTAATTTTTTAATTTAATATACACAAGCCTGTACACCTACATACTCACACAGACAGCATTCCCCCACTACTGCCATTCAGTAAACCGACCGAAGCGCCACCAATAACTATCTGATGACCCCGACTATGGTCTTGCTTCGGAAAACGTTAGTTCTGCCTCCTGGTCTCTATTCTTCATGGATACTGCTTACTATTTGACCCAGCATTCTCCAGAGCCCCAGCCCTCATCTCCCTAATAATCTCCCCCCTCGTCCGCCAGATGGCGCCAGATCGCCATTCCACTCTCGCCTTGAGTGGGCACCTCCCTATTTCTTCCCTTTCTTCCCCTTCCTCTCCTTCTTCTTCTCCCCCGCAGGCTTAAAAGTATCAAGAATCTCCTGCTGCTTGACCTGCACATCAACATGCACAACATCCGCCTTCTTCTTATACCTATTAACCGCGGCAGGTGGTGAAAACTCAATCTCAATGTCGGAAGCAGTGGAGCTCTCGCTCTCCGAGTCATCCTTATTCTTGACAATCTTAAACTGCAGCGGTTTCATCGGTACCTCCAGCTGTGGCACCTCCATGCTCTCCTGCTTAATAGGATACATAGTGACGTAATACGTCCCATCCCGTCTGAGAATATGAAGAGTGGGCGGGGGTTCCTCCTCCTCCTCCTCATCGAGCCTCTTGGACTGGGTCTTCTTCATCGAAGTCTGACTCCTGTTCTTCAGCCTGCTCCTGGAATGAGCGGACCGCGACCTAGTGTCCTCCAGAGCTCCGGCCCTCGTCTCCCTGATAATCTCCCTCATCGTCCGGGAGATGGCGCCAGGTCGCCACCCCACTCTCGGCTTGAGCCTCCCTAGGGCCTGGCACTCGTTCCACAGCCATCCCATATTAGCAGGGACCCTCTTCCTCGGGTCGTTACAGTTCTTGTGCCCAAAGGTCACCCCAGGATAAGTGTCTCCGGCCAAATAAACGTACTTGACCCTCCGCCGAGCCGATCGCAGCTCCTCGCCGCCGTGAACCGGAACTACTCCACGATTTCTCCGCCGATTCAGCCTTTTCCGCTGGAAGCTCCTCTTAGAACTTCTTCTCTCCTTGTCTTTGGACTTGACGATCTCATGAGAGCTCGAGGTTAAAGGCTTGATCTTCCTCCTAGACCTGCAGCCAGACTTCCCGCAAGGTCCGGTCCCTTCCGCAAGGGCTTCCTCAGCCTTTTCAAGGTTATAAGGGTCGAGCGAGGGCAAAACAGAACCTTGAAACGACTCTTTCTTTCCGGACGACGGTAAGGTGAAGGGCTTCGTCTTGATCAGCACCGGATCGTTGGTCTTCTGGGTCTTCTGGTGGGCACGGCCCTTGGAACTTCTTCTATTCTTCTTTTGATCCTTCACAGGAGCCGTCTCCACGTCTTCCGATGGGAATTCCTTTGTTCTGAAGTAAGGGCTCTCCGACGGGTCCTCTAACCCGAGTCCTACGAGTCCTGGAACTCTCCCCAGCGAGTCAACGAACTCCTGAGTTTCTCTCAGTGTGCGGAGGAAACAGTCGGCTCCAATGCAGGGACTGTCTCCGCAACTTTTCGGGTTAGTTTTACATTTCGATGAATTTAAGGGATTCCTGGCTGGTTCAGACAGGGAACGATCGGTTCGTGTAGTGTAGTAGTAGTTGGGGGAGCCGTAGTTGTTGGTTCGGGGACAGTTGGCGGGATGTTGTGCTCTAGGAATTCTCGAGGCGTCTAGCTCCTCCCACTTCCGGTATAGATCCTCACAGCCACCGCCGCGCATTCTAACCCCATTATTCAATGGACAGTGGGCGGTATTGTGATTCCCACTCCGGGGATTTCCAAAGGGGTCCGCATTGTTCTTGGTTATTGTAACGGTTGGATGAGTTCTATTGCAACAGTTGTTCGTGCAACTGCCTGGACATTTTCTGTCGAAAGTTTTCACATGTGCGCGGGGATCTTTGGAGCATGCGCAGATCGGCTCGTTCGGGAAGGCCCGGTATATGAGACTGCGGTACTCACTGTCGTTCAGTTTTTCGGCGGATGTTAGATTTTGGAATTCGGGACTCTGCATGCTTATTACTGGAGGCACTTCCGGGGGCTTCAGGTTAAAATTCTTGGATTTATCTTCACTCATAATTTATTGGTAGAGTAATTGGGGCAGTCACTGGGATTTATTCATGAATTAGTTAGGGTTTTGGATTTTTGCTCATTTTTTTGGGGTTTATTTATGGAGAAATGACAGTAGCGGTTGAATTGTCATGGTGACAGCTGTTTCGTTACCGACTGTGTTGATCCCTGTTCTCACTTTGAACAACTGACGCCGAGTGGCGCCAATAGGCCTATTTTCTGCATTCATTAGACGCAATTTATTATTTCCGTGAGATACAAAGATCACCTAAGGAAAAACCAAAATGTAACATAATTATTATGAATGAATTATTACATTATGAATTATTTACATTATTATAATTTTGTTTTCGTTCAGTATTTTGGTTTCAATTTCATTATTTTGTTAAAATTATTATTATTCTTTTCATTAACAATCTCGAAAGGCAAGACAATTGGAAAATAGCAAAAGATTACAATTAAGTTGATCGATAAACGAGAAATTATTTGTAGAACTGCATATTTAATTTTTTACCATTTTAGTATTTATTTTTGTTTGTTAATTATTTCATTTACATTATACTAGTAAAATGTTGAAAATGGAGTATAATTTCTTGGACATTGTTTTCTAAAAAATGAAACTTTAAGTGAAAAATACATATTGTCAATTCTCCCTAACATCGCTCAATACCAAGACAATTCAACAAATCATCGACCAAGCAATCAAATATGCACTTTGATCAATTTTTAATTTACCTCGTTAATGAGGTTTTATCTCTTCAATAGTAGAGATAGATTAATAAACTCACGTGTACGTGAGAATTTTCTCAAAAGCAGAGGCAGATGCCTCATACCCAACTTCCTCCTTCAACTCATCCCTGGTAATTTCAACTAATGGTAAATTCTTATCAATAATCCCAGCGCACAGTTCAAGGGTCAGCCCAGCCTCTGGGGGATACTGTTTCGTGTCAACATCCTGATGTCTCTCTGGTAGAATTCCATAGTAAGCAGCTGGTCTGAACTGTCTCACAAACACTAGCTTCTTCCTCGTGGTGTTGTAAATAATAATTGCAACACTGTCGTGTATCCTCGAGACATCCCAATTCTTCGCTTTGCCATCTTGCATGAATGATATGCGCGCCGGTCTTAACCATGGTGAGTCCTTCGGCAATGGTCCCACCTTGACATTCTTCAGGTCCAGCATCTTCTTACGCACAACAGCGTTCCTCTCCTCCTGCGTCTGTCCACTCATACTTCTGCGGGGTTTTTGAGGCGATTTACTGAGATCTTTGGGAGGGAAATATTCACGTCACTGCTAGTCTTCCAGTCGTCCTTCATCGCCGATTCAACGACAATAAGATCACTTCTTCTTCTTGCCTTTCTTCTCCTTCTTCCCCGCCTTCTGAGCCTTCTCCTCAGCCTTCCCCTCCGGGCCCTCCGGATCCCCCCCCACCGGAGGGCTCTCCTTCACCTTCAGAGGATCCTCATCCCCAGGAAGCAGTCGCTTAACAAAAAACTGTCCCTCCTCCCTATCACTCCTGAAGACAAACGCATTCTCCCTCATCCGATAATGCGTGGTTACATATTTCCCAAGACACGTCAGCTTAACCTCAAGATCAATGTTACCCGATGGATTTTCACCCGGATCAACGAGCCCATAATCACCTCGCATAACAAACGGCTTCGGCAAGTGGTCTTTATCATTCATGGCCATCGCTATTTGGTCGCACATGCATCCAGACACTTGGAGTCCCACTTCGGCAATCGGATATGTCTCATCAGTACAAAATATACCGATTTTCAGTTGGGTCGTTTGCATTTCACGCACAAGTGACTTTGGCCGTTTACCAAATAGACACGATATGCCGGATGAGAATACCATCCTACCGTTTTTCGTCTCGTTACCTGACGGTGACGAGTGCTCAAAGTCACTTGGAGATAGAACGAAGATTGGCAGATCGAGATATTTTATTTTTACGAGTAACGGTCTTTTGTCACACTCGTAGAGTTTTTCATCGGTAAGGAGTAGTGAGTTCACTGTCAACTCGAGGAGGTAGAGCTGGTCGTCAGGACTGTCGAAGCACGACATTTTTTGTTTGGCTTGTAATGGAGGAAAAATGAACGAGTCAATTCTCTGAAATTTTTTGCTCGCTCTAGAGACATTCGAGATCATTAAATTGTTATTTCAGGTGGGATGAGGGGCCCATGTCTTCGAGTGGCCGTTGGTCTTGCGTCAGCTCGCATTTCGTAATTTTTGAGTGTTAAATTTTCCACTTGACTTTTAGAATTTCGACGAGTCGAAAGCGTTCATTTGATCTGTACAATTTCTGGAGTGTCCGGGAGGTACATAATTGAGAGGCTAGTTTGTCTCTTGATGAGTTATTTCACGTGACAGGGCCGAAATGACGATCGCCTTAATTAGAAGTTCTTTAAAATTTTGGAGATGTAGAAGGTGACGAAATTGGTTAATTGTTTTAGAAAGCGAGGCTTGCGCAACTTGAGCAACCCCAATTAACACTTGAATGTTTCGGGGGGATTTGGATGCAGATCGAGACTGTGTGGGACGATCCGTCAGCCTTAAGGTAGATCGCAAGACAATACCACCCAAAAGTTAGTCCCTATGGATTTCCGGAAAAAATTCTAAATGATTTTATTTATTTATTTATTTATTTATTTATTTATTTACTAGCGATTATATTATATTGTATTAATTTATTTTACTGTTTTCTTTCCAATTTTTCTTGCAGTTAGATTAAATTGAATTTATTGGATTCTATTCCCATTGTAGTATACAAATTGTGGGAACAGTTTTTCTCATTTCTTTTTCCGCACAAGTGACGAAAATTCACTTTTTGTAATACTTGCTTGAAAAGTTCACTTTCGGGGCGATTTAGAGACCATAAAGTGTCTGTCTTCCGCACGGCGTACTGCGCGTAAAAGTATATTTCGACACGAGTGCATAAAAGTGTTTTTTCCCACGAGTGTCGACCCCCATTTTTCATTACAATCTACGGAAAACGAGATATTGCGCACGCAGAGCGTGCGTAAGATTCCAGTTTACGCACAAGTAACAGAAAAATGATTGAAGAAAGCATTTTATGCATTTCTTACCCTCATCAAAGCTAGAATTAATGGGAAAAATGATCAATGATCATTTTTGTCATCACGCTGCCTGTAAAGTGACTTCCCACACATTGTGATGAAAAATAGGGTTCGATACTCGCGGGAAAAGTGTTTTTAGACTTCTGAGATTATATCGCTCGCCTTCGGCTCGTCCTATAAACCTCCCACGAGCCCAAAAACACTTTCCCGCAATCGTATCGAAATATACTATTTTACACTCTTCGAATTGATTTTTTTTCGTTACACTCAACTGGAGTTCACGACTCAACTGGAGTTAATCAAGTTTACTAAACTACTTTAATCTAGGAATGATCCTGCTGAAGGCAAGGGTCACCTTGAACCACACTCACAGATCTCTCCCCCATATCTACCAAAAACCTGCCCGAAGTTGATTCTTTCTTTTTCCCTCCAGCTCTTTCCCGATTCTTTTTACTCCTTCCCACTGGCTTTCTGCCTCAGTCCTTCCAACACTGTCCTGAAGTATGCACTAATTGGTGCGGCCACTCGACACACACACGCACACATTTGGAGAAGCGCCTCACCAAAACCCAGAGGCACACAATGTCATCAGGCAGAAGCGGACTTCCTCGGAGAAGTTTCTACGTATCTGGGAGGGGACATAGGTGTTCATGTGGTACACGCTTGTCTACCGGGGATGGATATATACTCGCAGGGCGAGGCCTAGAACTTGCGGGGAGTGTATCCCCCGCGGATGAGGAAGGAGGCCGGGGGGGGGAGAGGTATCTTGGACAGCCAAAGTTGAATTCCAACTGTAGCGAGCGACACGGCGGCTCGTTAAAATGCTTCTGGGAGTTTCGGCCGATGGGATACTCTCTGGTTAATTGGTGATTAGCGATTAAAACGAACCGATCCCTCCTCATTCTGTGCGACCTCGACCGTGTGGCCAAAAGGACAAAACCAATGGATGAGACAACGCGGTTATCGAGGGGATATTAGGAGGATTCATTTTAATTTTCATTTTGTGAAGACTCAACGGCATTAAGTCAATTGCAGAATTAAATAACACAAATCAAAAAATTTCATTGAACTACCTGGCGAATTCGATGGAAAATTCTATGGAATTTCTAGGGAACTGTTACTACTATTGAACGTTTTCTGTAGGAATTCTCCTCAATTAAGGGTTGCAAAGGTCAAAATGAGGGTCACGAGGGTCAGATTAAGGGTCACAGGGGTCAGATGAAGGGTCATGCGTTTCAAAATGTCACAAGTTTCAAAACAATGGTTATAAGGGTCACGAGGGTCAGAATAAGGGTCAGGAGGGTCAGAATAAGGATCACGAAGGCCAGATTAATGACCATAGGTCAGATTAAGGGTCATGAGGGTCAGAATAAGGGTCACGGGTCAGATTAAGAACCACAGGAGTGAGGGTCATGAGGGTCAGAATAAGGGTCAGAACGTAAAAGTGTTTTTTGACCCGCGGGAGCGTGTGCAGCACTCGGCGAAGGCGAGTGCTATTAACCTGCATTTTACTGTTGATAATAAGAGTGATGACTGAGTATTGGTTTCCAGTAATGCTAGTTCATGCGCTATCGGCAGGTAAACGCTTCAGTCTTTGCGGGCGTTGGAAGTCGCAATGACTTTTAGCATATTGTCACTTATTTTTTCACTCTTCATCCAGGTAAGACGCGATAGATAATGGTTGATAACAGGAATATTGTTGAAATTGTTTCTAATTAGTTGTATTTTTGGTATCTTTGGTATTGTGACGTGGAGATGAGTCACACGACGAGTTTTCCGGCGGGAATTAGATATACGCGACTAGGAATTTCGGATTCTGATGTATACATGACGATTGATGGGACACATGTGAGGTTACTGAAACCTTTGACGGTTAAGGATGATATAACGGTGGGTATATTAGAAAAAAAATGAAATTTTTATTCTCTGAAAAATTGAGTATCATCGCGACGAATAAAATGGTTTTTTACTCATGTTTCTACGAGTTACAATTATCGAGATGTAATTTATTTAGGTAAGTAGAATAAGATTTTTTGTTTCTAAGAGCGCGTGCACGTCCGCATCCTGGGAACTACGACTCGTAGAGATGTGAGTTGAAAACCATTTTGTTTCTTATGAAATTCCCTACATTTGTCGCCGCGGACTTCTCAATGATTTCTCAATAGTTTTCGAGATATTTCAATTGACAGTGGGGCATTGTAGCGACAGCGAGAGCACCTTCACTCGAGAGTGTATCCGTAGTACATGTACACATGACTGAGGGCATCGTATTCCCTCCATGCGCAGTCGTCGACTGCGCAACTTCCGTTCGGTTTTTCGTGACATGAGATTTATCTGCGATTACTCCACCATTAAATTTCGATAACGAGAGCTGAGACGTTTCCACATTAATAATGATGAAAATGAAGGGAATAAATTCTTAATGATGGTTTTTGGCTAATTAGAAGATAGTAGATTACTTTACTAGGCCGATATAAGCATTTTCCGACGAATGTGGATTTATAATCCGAGCTAACGGCGAGGATTATAATCACATGAGTTTCGAAGCCCGAAAATCGCATTCTCACCGAACGAAATGAGGTTAGAATCGCTGTTTATCGTGCCTAGTGAGATAAATAATAGTTTTGAATGTTTAAAAGAGAATGTGCCACTCTCACTTGAATTATCGCGATAACCATTGAGAAGTCATCGAGACACGCCGCGTGAACAATTGAGGGATATCTATGGCGAATAAAATGGTTTTTTAGGTCATATCACATGATTGGTGCATCTTATTCCCGCCATGCGCAGTCGTCGACTGCGCAACTTCCGATCGGTTTTTCGTGACAGGAGATTTATCAGCGATTCCTCCACCATTAAATTTCGAAAACATGACTCAAGATGTTTATACGCTGATTAAAATGTGTGAATATAAAAAATATTTCGGTATTTTTCTTCATAATTCATTGAAGCCAATTTTTCTAGGTTGAGTGGATTTTGGAAACCGAAGCGCTTGATTATATGGATCTAGGCGCTTTCGACGTAATTAGAACACAAAAGAATATATCGTTATGTAACCCTAATTTGCAAGATCCAGACAATCGGCAGGTGTTTGAGACCTTCACCAAAATCCTATTACTTGACATCACCAGAGGGTGCCCCATCCACGAGGTAAGACCAAATTACAAAGGCGATGTATTACTTAATTTCCGGTAATTTATCGGTACATTCTTGACTACACGGAGAGTAAAGTTGGAAAAAAATTATCTAGAAAAAGGTCTTCAATAAAAAATACTTTTCGTGGAGGATATCTTACGATTCGTTTGCTAATCTTTCCCCAACTTTTTTCTCCGTGGGGGAATATTCGATGGCGCATACTGAGAATAAAAATAATTTCCGAATTATTTCAGCAGTATATACTTCCATACAAAGGCGAAATTCTCATGAATTTCACCTATTTCAACGAGTTCCCTCAACCGTCGTGCGACGAAACTGATTGGCTGCTGATCTACCTTCATTCGCCATCGCTGGACGAACCAATTTTGACAGTTCTCTTCAGCATTCATAATCATGCTCAACCAATTTATTGCGACGATTTTTGAGCATGTCACATTAGGAAGATTTAATTTTATTTATAATCAATTGATCAATATAATAAATATTTCTCAATGGGAATCGAGTCTTGAGAAATCCAGCAAAATGGTTACACCTAAAAATTCAATTAATTATTCAAATTATTAATTCAGAAATTAATTATTAATCATTAATTAATGAGTTGATTACATTGATTAATTAAATAATAAATTAATAATTTGATTAGTAATTATTAATTGATGATATTAATGAGTTGATTAGACTGATCACTTAATTAATTAATGCAATGATTCATGTCTAAATTACAAGTAAAACTTTGCAATTTTTTTTTACTTAAAAATATTGCAAATTGTTGATTTCTAAACACTCTGTTGACCTTAAATGTCGTCACACCTAAAAATTCAATTGACTAATCAAATTATTAATTAATATTTGTTATTAATTATTTATTATTATTTATTATCATTTATTATTAATTACATATTAATAAATATTAAAAAATAATAATAATATTTAATAATATTAAATATTATTTAAGATTATTAAATATTACTATTATCATAATAATATTAAATATTATTTAAGATTATTAAATATTATTATTATCAATTAAATATTATTAACTATATTATAGTTATTATTTTATTATTATTAATATTAATGATTAATTGAGCATCAACTAATGATATCAGTTTACTTTCCGTTCAGACCCTACATTTATTTTTCAAATTGAGAAAAAAAAAATCCTCTGGGTATCAATTGGGCAGAGATATCATCCCAATCGTTTAATTATAGTTTCCCTGATTTTTATTCTCTCCTTGGGTTAACAACTCTCTGCACAATATGACAAGTTGAAAATGTCAAAGCGCTCGACTCCACTTGTGCCCTGACCCAAATGATTCGACTCGCACGGAGCCATTTTCTCCTGTCGTCAGTCGGGACGTTATAAGAGGTCTCATAATAGCAAAGGAGGAGAAAACCTTGATCGTGCACTCTGAAACTATCCCACGACATTATTTCCAAGGAGAGTTGGAGCTTCGAAGACATGGTACTCATGGGTACTTGAGGACATCAATGTTAACTGGACTCGTTCAAGGAGGTGAATTGTCCGTAATTTGAATAAATGAATTGGAATCAGCATTGAGATTAATTTAATGAGCGTTTGGTAATTAATTAATTCGAGTCTTGGGACATCTCTTTCATTGAACAGAATTTTGAGAGGCAAGTGCCTCGCGATTTTACGTCAAAAACTATTTAAACAATTCATTATTGACTAGAAAATGTGGAGAATGAAATTTTGCAGAATTGAAAAGAAATTTGGCAAAAACAATTTCGAAATGCTAAAATTAGAGTTAATTCTGAATCATTATTTTATCGTGTGTGGAAGGCTTGACTTATTATTTTGGGAAGAATAAAATGAATATAAAAAAAATGAGGGGAAATCTAGAATCAGGATTGAGATTAATTTAATGAGCATTTGCTAATTAATTGATTCGAGTCTTCGGACATCTCTTTTATTGAACAGAATTTTGAGAGGCAAGTGCCTCTAGATTTGACGTCACAAACTATTTAAACAATGCTAAATGTGAAGCGAATGAAAATATAACGGAAAAAATTTGGAAAATTTTCCGTCCAAGAAGTTCTGTAGAAATAAATAAATTCAAAAAAAGAAGTTCTATAGAAGAATTGAAATCTATTGACACCTTCCTATCAAATACTTCTTCTTCTACTTCTTGACAAAATGACAGGCTAAAATTGCGGTCTTCAGTAGAATTGACACAAACAACAAAGAATTTTTTATTTGTATTTTTATTCAATTAAAATTGTATTTTTTCATTTTATGCCCAAGAATTTCTATGGAAAAATCGAAATCCATTTACACTTTTTCTTTATCAAATACGTCTTGACAAATCGACAGAGTGAAATTGCAAAATCGCCAATAGAATTGACGCAAAAAACTAATAAAATTTCAATAGAACTTGAGTGATCAAAACTTCAATTACTCATTCAAAATAATCAACTCCACATGAAAATTATTGTGAGAAGGGGTTGAAGGCCAACGAAGTTAATTCGAAATGAAAGTTCCTGGGTTTCAGCAACGATCCAGATCTAGATCAAAATTTATTGACACTTTTTATCAACTACATCTTGACAAATCGACAGAGTGAAATTGCAAAATCGCCAATAGAATTGACGCAAAAAAAACGAATAACATTTCAATAGAACTTGAGTGATCAAAACTTCAATTACTCATTCAAAATAATCAACTCCACATGAAAATTATTGTGAGAAGGGGTTGAAGGCCAACGAAGTTAATTCGAAATGAAAGTTCCTGGGTTTCAGCAACGATCCAGATCTAGATCAAAATTTATTGACACTTTTTATCAACTACATCTTAACAAATCGACAGAGTGAAATTGCAAAATCTCCAATAGAATTGACGCAAAAAAAACGAATAACATTTCAATAGAACTTGAGTGATCAAAACTTCAATTACTCATTCAAAATAATCAACTCCACATGAAAATTATTGTGAGAAGGGGTTGAAGGCCAACGAAGTTAATTCGAAACGAAAGTTTCTGGGTTTCAGCAACGATCCAGATCCGGTGGCACGACACCAGGAAGCCACGCGAGAGACGAAAATTACTGGTATATAACAACCATTGGATATATCCGAAGGTTGTACTTGAAGATGGTAGGAAGGAGAAGAGGCACACTCGGTTGTAGTCGCTTTACTGGGCCTCTGCACCGAACCCGAGTCAGGTCAGAGGGCGATAGCGGTACTGGCACTGATACTGCGAGGAATGAGGGGGGTGGGGGAGGGGTAACCTCTCTCATCCATGACTCGTCCTTACACGCCACCTCCTGACGCTTCCTAGTCTCTTCTATTCCAGTTACAAACGGGTTCAAATATCGAATGCACATCACATTTTTTTTTTTTGAGGAAACATGAGTTTTATTTTCATTGTAACAGTGTGAGGGAAGAGCGCATCTGAAGGAATGGTTTAGTTAAATCAAATGAAGTTTAGTTGAAGGAAATTGAGGGATGAAGGAGAGGTTCAGGCTGGGATCTTCTTTCGTTTTTTGAGGAAAAATTTCCAAGTGTTATTTTTTGCGTGATTTGTCTCCGGGAATTTGAGGAAAACGCGAGGAAAATTTGTGCGAAAAATTGTATTTTTTTAGATTTTGAGTTGGGTACAGACGTGATAAATTCAATAATTTTCAATCATCAAGTTTGTGAATTAAATTGCGTGAGAAAATTTTGGAAAAAAATCATGAATATTCAACGTCATTAAAAGTACATTTTGCAGAACATTATTGTGTTTTACACATTCGTTGTTTATAAATGAATAATTGAAATTGTTTAAACTTTCGGAAACCTTATTTTTGGGCACGAAATCGATTTTTGCAAAATTTCGGAATATGAACAAATTTAATGAACATTAATTCCAACTATTTAAGCGACGGGCTGTTCAGAGCTCTCAAAAGTATGTGGAAAAAGTGAAAACTGAAAAAGTTTATTTTTTCAGATTTTCAAAGGGTCAGATTTTCCGTTTTTCCAGGGGGAAAGTTGACTTTCGCCAAAATCGAATTTTTTAGCCGGGTGAACGTTGATTGTAACTATTCAAGCAACGGGTTATTGAGAACTCTCAAAAGTATGTAGAAAAAGGTAAAACTGAAAAAGTTTTTTTTTTCAGTTTTCCCTTTTTCCCGTATCACGATTTGTCTTCAACACGCGTGCTCAAGCGCGCGATCGTTCTCCTATTTTAAATTTGGTAAACACAGTTAAACTTCGACCAATATAACGAGACAATCCTTTTTAATATTGCCAAAATCTAGTATTATTGGCTATCCCTATTAAAAATTTCCCTTCGTCATTCTATCCTGGACTCATTCGCTGGAGAAAAAGTAGCCAAAGTACTTGGACATCCTTAAAACCTTCAATTTCCCCCAACAATTCTCAATATAATAACTTTTCTCTTCCGCTATCCAACAGCAACCCCACATAATCACCAATGTCATTCCGAACCAACAGCCCCAAAAAAAAATTAAAAATCATATCAAATGAATTTCCAAGAAAATCACATCTAACCCATCAAACCTCATTACAGCATTTCTTACATCCAACTCCAGCCATCCTATCCTTTAATGTGATTTTTTGGTATGTATTTGATGGGCATATGTATACCATCACTGGAATTTGAAGAAGGGAAGCGAGAATGATGATGAGGTCGATTCCAAGGTGTACGTACGGCAATTCAGTGTGGTTCTGTACTTATTAATGAGGCAGTCCAGCCACGAATGAAGCGATGCAGCGCGGGAGTCCAGGGGGGGGGGAGGATATGGGTTTGAGTGCGTGCAAGGCCCTGGTTCTTGCTCAGACCCTCCATCTCTCTCTCGCTCACCTTATCCTCCGTAAAACCGCGATTTCGACAAGACATCCGCAAGAAATGTGAATTATCCGGCCGATGAGTGAGGAGGGCGGTGGGGGGGGGGGGG